ACGGTATAGCCTTCGTAGCTGTCACGGTGGATGATGCCGTCGGCTGAAGTATGGCTTGCTGTCGTATTACCTGTTATGTGAAGCCATGCTCCGTGAACTTGGGGTAGGCCGCACTGTCCATGTCCTCTCTGTCTCTCAACATAGCCCAGCCCCAGTTCAATGCAGGTTTGAGCTGTTCCACCAGTTGCTGTGGAAGAGGTGGGGGTGGGTGATCCTTCGCGTGCTTCGCAACTACATCCGACATCTCGTTCCAGGGGTGCCCGTCATGACCAGTTGTGTGAGACAAGGTGATCCTCCTGGTACGTCGGGCAGCGTCGAGGGCGTGGCTCCCCAGTCGAGAGAAGGGCTCTTCCTGGGCCACCCCTGACGAAACGCGCCACATCGCGGGTTGGCAGTCACATACCACCTCCACCTCGATGTGCGCCTCGAGCTGCAAGGCATATAGTAGCGCCCACAAAATGCCTGCCGTCTCGGTAGTCACACTGTTGATCTGATGATCGGACAGCTCCGCGTTGATGCTGTCCACCACGTAGGCGCTGAAGTAGCCAAGGAACTTGAAACAATCGCCGTCAGTTGCCAGCAATGCGCAAGCCCAAGCTGAACTCGTAGGCTCGCTGTCGTGACAGGAGCCGTCGCAGAAGATGAAGACCTTGTACACTGCGTTCTCCAATCTCTGCGAAAGGGACATGGCCAGCATGCTATGCTCGTGGAGCGACATACCAGCAAGATTCCGCTGTAACTGAATGTGCCATCGAAGCCGTTGAAACACCAAGTGTAGTGGCTCGGGCGTCTCCAGCGAGCAAAATCGTCCATAGCAATTATACTGAGGTGAAACATGGGCGTCAAGGTGCCCGAGCCTTTCGTCGGCCCTCGGAGTGTCTTCAATGAGCTGTACGTCATGATTGCCGCAAACCACTGGAACATCTCCGCTTCCCAACCCTTGCTGAGGTACGCGTGCGGACGAGTCCGCAAAGTCACTTAGAAATCGAGCATCTACTCTGACGGCAGTCCCCAGCCCACTCAGTCCAAGACTGGGAACCCGTAAAGCGTGGGCCATAGTCTCCGCTGGGGTCCCAGCCCCCGACGCTGGCTGAGACCCTTCCCACGCGCTCAGGGGCGCTGGGACGCGCCTGGTTCATCCCCGCGGTGTCCAGGAGGAACGTCCGCGGGTTGCTGATGACGTGAATCAAGAGGTACGCGAGAACGCTGTAGGTCGTCAGCTCCCGTATGCTCGATAGCCTGACTTGACGACCATTCACCACTCGTAGTAGCGACCCCACCTCTCGTCTTCTCATCACGTGTGCGACTATCTTCAGTATGAGGCGGAACACGCGGGTACAAGAATTGTCTCCCATACTTCCGAGCTGGCCTTTTGTGCACCGTGCTCCTGTCAGTGTCCTCTTCTCCTGAACGTAATGCATGCTGCGCCACGTCGGAAGGTACCTCATCGTCATCATCTGCAACATCCCGACGTTCACAGTCGTGATGATCATCTACGTGGACAACCTCTTCTGCAAGTTGCTGTACAATGTCGAGTCCGTACTTGACTAACTCCTCCTGGTATTGTTCCTCTTGTTCTTCTCTGGCTACCTCCCTGTCATGCATCAGCAGGCAGATTTCCTCCTCTTGAATGGCCTCAAGCTCAGATGCTACTTCACGATCATACCTTTGGGCTGCGTCAATGATATCTTCTACCGAAACTGCATCTGCAGAGTCCATCGTGGTGGAGTACCCATTTGGAGGCACGTCGTGAGAAACTTCAACTGATAGATCAGGTACCGCCGTCGGTGAAGAGTGTACAGAGTCAACTTGAACTTCCTGTCGATGTTCAGCTCGTTGCTGTGCCTCACGTTGCTCTGCTTCCTTGTATTCTGCATTTCGAATCGCTGATACGCGTACCTCTTCAAATGCATAGACCTGCCGTTCTGCACGTAGCCATTCTTGAAAATCAGCTTCATCCTGCAGTCTAGCAGCGTCCTCGTCGGCAAGCGCAGCATCTACTGCCCGAGTCATAGTAGAAGGTGCTGAGGAGTAGAGTGAGGAACATATTGGCGAGCCCGCCATGTACCTCTGGCACTCGTAATCAATGTACATCTCGCTGTCGCGCTCAGCCTGCTTCTTTTGCTCGACCAGTTCGGCTTCAAACTTCTCCGTCTCATTCTCTACACTGCTGCCAAACTGAACTCTGGATACTCCCGTCTTACCGTATGGATTCGTTCGATTCGATCGCGGGGTCGTAAATCCTTTTCCTTTTTGAGTACGAAGCCGTCCGATTTCACCTTCATAATGCTGCGTGCGAGCTTCTGCTGATCGAATTGCCTCAACTAGCTGCTGCTGTCGTTCTTCATCGTGCTGACGCTGTTCCGCTAGTTCAAGCCAAGCCTTCTGGTACCGCTCGTCGTTCTCAGCCTTCATCTCCTGCACCTCCTTGAGCTCACACGCCACTCTTGCCAGCTGGCTGCGCTTCCATTGCTCCATGTCCTCGGTATCCTTCTGATGCTTGGCTTTGTCCATCTCCATGAACGCCTGGCGCTGCTCGTCAACCTCATCTGACCGACGCTGGAGCTGCTGCATGATCATCGTGATCTTGGCCATCTCTTCCTGACCGAAACGCTGCACTTCCATTTCACGGCTTGCCAGTTGCTGCCTCTGTTGTGCTAATTCCTGTTGCTCTCCACTGTGCTCACGTCGCCCACACTCAATCTGGACCTGCAACTGCCGGTTCTGCTGCGGTAACATTAAGTTGTGATGATGCGCTGCTGCCGCTGCCCTCTGCTGTTCCAGCCATTCATTGTGTCTAGCTGCCTTGCATTCACTCTCGTAGACCTTAGCCTGCTCCTTCGTGAGTAATTCTGTCCTTGGCACCGATTTGGCTACCGATGTTGCTGCCACGGAGCTGCTGCTGTCGACCGTCATGTGATTATCTGCATCCCTGAGGGGTGGCTGCGGCGTCATCTGCGAAAGCGGTATCTGTGGAGCTGCCGTCGTCGGCGCCTGTGTAACTGGGGTCCGCATCTGCCCTGGTATTGACATCGCAACAGGAGTATCTTGCCGACCTTGTGGAGACTCTTTGTGAAACGCCTGTAGGCCAACTGGAAGCGGCTGAGGTGTCTGCTGTGAACCGAATGAGGGCATCGGTGCACGTGATGGCAAGAAAGCCGATCTCCCTGTCGAGCTCCCTGGCGTACCTCCTGGCGGTCTATATGCACTCGTGCCACCGTATGGATCCGTTCTGGCTGGTGAAGCTGAAGGCCGCCGAGCATCGTCCTGAGCTGGATTCTGCACTCCCAACTGCTGTACTGTACCTTGACCTCTAGAGACTTGCCCCTGCGGCTGTCTCAACGAGGCCTGACAGCGCAAGTGCTTGCCGTCCACGATTGGGGTTGGGTCTCGACTCGAAGGAAATGGCGGAGGTGGCGGCGGAGGTGGTGGTGGTGGGGGTTGCTCTGCACCGTCTGCTCGGAGATCCTTCTGCAACGCCACCCTCCTATCGTGACCAATGTCAGCCTCCGTGCTTGATATTTCTGCTGTGTCTGCCTCTCCTTCAGCTGCTTCTCGAAATAAATCATGATAGTAATCCAGCATTGTCTCCTCAAAGAGAGCCTCCTGCTTCAATGCCGATATTTTGCCCTCGATCTTGTGCAACTTCTCCTCCGTCTTCGTAATATTGTCCTTCGCTTCCCGACGTTGAATAGCACATGGCTTGAGTTGCCACATCATCCACTTCATAACACTCAACTCCTTCTCCTGGGTAATCACACATGTTCCCAACCGCCGCCCGTGTACAATAACCTCTGCCGTTCTATGCATCCTCTCCTCCAAAGATTTCCGATACTTGGCTGTGTCGGACTTCGGCGGTGGGCTGTAAATGGAATGATTCATGGCGTACTTGCTAGTGCTCATCATCGTCTCCTCCAGAACCTTGGCAATCTCATTCTTGAATGTAGCACTATCTCGATCACGACGACGTTGGTCCGCCTGCTTCTGCATTTGCTTCCTCCACGTGTTGTTGCAGCTCTTCTTCACGCATTGCCATGACGCTGGTTCGTTGCTCTGGCCGCAATCGATACAAGTCCATCTACCTGGCTTCGCCATGCTGGAGTGGTGAGCCGCCAGAACCTTCTGCGCCTTCGTGACTCTGAGAAGAATCCTAGCCTGAGCTCGCTGTCGACGGCGACGCCGATGTGCAGCGCCCTCGGGGCGTTTGGCCGTCTGGCCTGCTCCTGGCGGGCGGCCCGCCGCGCGCGACCTCGCGCGCAGTCTGGCCCGCCGCGGGCTGCCGCCAGGGGCTGCCGCCGCTGCAAGGGGTGTGGGGGTGTCCTCCCCCTCGCTGCAGCCCCTATCGCGGCCGCCGCGCTGCCGCCCGCCCACGCGTGGGGCGGCGTCCGCCCCACCCCGAGTGGGCAAACGGCTGCCTCGTCGTCCTCCTCCTCCTCCTCCACCTCCTCATCTTCCTCATCGTCGTCAGCGTCTCTCCTCGCCCTCCTCATCCACCTTCCTGCTGCCCTCCTCCTCCGCCTCCTCCTTCTCCTCCTCCTCCTCCTCCTCGTGCTGTCTGTCTGTTTGTCAGTTCTCTCCCTCTCTCCCTGTCTCTATCTCTCTCTCTCTCTCTCTCCTTCCCTCCCTCCCCCTCCCTCGCTCTCTCTCTCTCTCTCTCTGTCTCTCTATCTCTATTTCTCTTTCTCTCGGTCTCTCTCTCTCTCTCTCTCTCTCTCTCTCTCTCTCTCTCTCTCTCTCTCTCTCTCTATATATATATTGGTTTCTCTCTCTATATCTCCCTCCTCTCTCTCTCTCTCCCTCTCTCTCTCTCTCTATATGGATTCCTCCCTCCCCCCGTATATGCAGCAATGTTGTTATCTATGTCGCATTGTGTATGTTTTATATATACATATATGTATACGTAAAGGTGTGCGCATAGTTCGTCGTTTGTGCATACACCATATATGTATGGTTATTGGTCGCATCCCCCCTCTCACCCTTGTCCCTCCATGTCCACGCCCTTATCCTAGGATGGTCAGTTCGGGAACTGACGCACTGCATCTGTTCAGTATCCAGCTGCCTGCGGCAAACCTCATTCACCGTGCCAGCGCAGCAACGCACGTTGATGGAGGTCAACTTCGAGACCCACAGCAGCTCAGCGCGTGGTATGAATCCGAGTTGGTATGTCAATCGACCTCCTTCCCTCGGTCCGCGGGCCGTCTAGTAGCCCTCCTGGTCCACCTTGGATGTTTCGCGGGCAGCCTTTGGAGCTTCTCGGGGCTCTTTGAAGTTTTCGCGACGCGATCTGAGGAAGGTATCTGTAGCAAAACACATTGTCCTGTTATGTGCTCTTCTATGGTGTTCGCCTCATCGGGCCTCGCTGGACGTCGCGTGGCGCGTTTCTTGGAGACTTCTTTGCAAGATACTGTCTTCTCTGGGGGCTCGCTGGGTTTCCGACACGCCAGTTCAGCGCGCTGCCTGAAATCGCGTGGTTATTACTTTCGACCTGGTTCCGCAGGTTTGGTAGCCCTCTTGGGCCCTCTTGGAGGGCTATCGCGCAGTATTGGGGCCATCTGGCTTTTTCTTTTGGGGCCATTGGTGCTCTCTGACGCGTCCCTCAGGGGATCTGAGCCGAAAATGCTTCGGGAGCCAACAACTGTGATGTTCCGAACGTGTTGTTCAATAGTTTCCGCTTTTTCAGCCCTCACTGGAGGCCTCTTTGTGAGTCTAACCTCATGCCCGTGAGAATAAACACTAGGGGATAATAAAGTTCGGGGTTCAGGGAGAGATAATAAAAGTAGCCCAGCAGACCTCAGCATAATCTCGAAGTAAGAGATGATCAAGAGGAGACCAAGCCGAGCACGTTTTGAGACATCCTTGGCGTTTAGTTTTCATAGAACTATCCTGCACAATGGCTTATCTCTCATGAAAATTGTTTTTTGTACGTGCTCGTGTAGGGTAGCTCAGGTGCCTCAATTTCCATGGATAGTCAACCCCAGAGATAAAAAAGTTCAGGCGAGCGTGGGGACAGAGAGAAATATAAAAGAAGAAGAAAACAGTAGAATAATAATAAGAACGAATACGAAGAGGAGAATAAGAAGAGGACGAAGAAAGGAAAAAATCCAAAGTTCCAAATCTATCAATTTTAATTTACAAGCGCGTTATGAAAATTGATTGTTTTAAATGCTCGTGTAGGGTAGCTCATGTGCTTCATTTTCCATGGATAATCAAACCCAGGGGTAAAAAAGGTCAGGCGAGCGTGAGGACAGATATATATAACAGAAGAAGAGGAAAGTAGAAGAATAATAAGAACAGTGCTCGTTTCGTTTGAGTCTGCCTCCCACAATTATTGGTTTCGCTTGACACATCCTGAAAAAGTGTGATCGCTTCGCTTGATGTTGCTATATCAACATCGCTTGATGTTGCTATCTCAACATAGCGTTTCGAGGTGATAATGAAGTTCGGCCTCAGCGCTCGCCGCCCAATTTGAATTTTGTATAGGGCGACGATAATCAACTCTAAACTGAAGGGGGGGTCCCTTTATTATCATCGGCATGCGGTTATTGAAGGCTTCGTGGGCCCTCTCGAGACACCTTGGGGACGCCTAAGAAGCCTTCGCCTGCTTCTCGCGCAGTCTGCGGATGGTCTTGTGTGGGTTCTTGCAGCCGTTTTGGACGATACATGGCTGCCGTGGAGCCTTTAGAGGCCGACAGTGGCGCCAGAGAGCAAATTCAGAGGGGACGATTTTCGGAGTACACGCGCGAGTAGTGTGAGTTCCGTGTCTGGCAAGATAGTTGCATACACAGTCTAGCACAGGCGGGAGAGATGGGTCTGCAGCAGCCGTTCCCCGCCTCCGCAGCCATGTGTCTCGGAGGCCCCACGGAGGGCCGTGCTAGCAGCACATTGCGCACTGTGTGTGCACCAGCGTTACCTCCCGTCCCACCTGACTGCTAGCAGCCGCTGACGCAGACAACCCAGCTCTCCTGATGCAACGTCGTCACTAAGCACTGCCCTCTGCGATCTGACGCAGGCCTGACCACAGGCACTCACCCACCGTGCTTGCCTGGGGGTGCGTTGCCGAAAAGGAAAGTACCACAGAGACCTTCCACGACAATCGGGGACCATGCTCGCACGCCCCACCGAGTGCCGCTGGCGCGGCGACGGATTTCGGCCGCTCTCCGCCGCGCGCTGCGCGACGGGTCCACGGGCTGAGATCCAGCCCGTGCTTGTAATTCGCGCGGCGGCCATGTCTTCCTTTGCGAGCTCCCTGGCTCGCAGCCGCTGCTCACTCGCCTCCGCGTGCCTACCCCGTGATGTGTAGTCGTGTCGCGCGCCACCGCCAAGGAGCAGGAGGAGCAGGAGGAGGAGGAGGAGGAGGAGGAAGAGCTGGAGGAGGAGGAGGAGGAGGATCTACTTCTGCGGAGGGGGGCCTCGCTCCCCTCCCTCTTTTCCTCCTCGGCTTCCCTCTTGTGTTTGTGTTCCTCCTCCCGCTTCCCTCCCTCACGCGGTTTCTCCTCACCCGTCACGTTCATCTGTCTCTCTTGCGCATGCCTCTCTCGTCTACCCCACCTCCTCCCCGTGTCCCTTTTGCCCCTCCTCTTCCTCTGCTTCTCCTTCCTTATGTTGATTTCCGGCTTTCGGGGGCGCTGGCCGACTGGATGTAGTTGCCCAGTGTTGTGCATCTTTTTGGGAGCCCCACGTGTCACAACTTAGGGCAGGGGTCGAGAGAGTTCAGTTATAGTGGAGGCTTTATGTTGCTTCATGCCATGAATCATGCGGGTTTGCCCTTGCAGCCTGCCAGCATTCTCTGCCAGCGAAAGGCTCGAATACATGTATCGCGCGGACTGAAGCAGTGAGACGTGACTCTACTGGTGGAGATTCTTACATGGGGCCAGGAGGAACACACGACCAAGTGCGACTTGCCCCGTCACTGGGCGGCCCAGGCGGTACTCATCGTCTTCCCCTTCCCCTTTGTTACGTACTGTTTCCTGCATCCTGCTCGCCCTTGTCATCGGTCCTTCTTCGTGTTCCCCATATACCATCTCATCCCCGTCCTTCTCCTCGTTGTCCGTCCACCTCCATTCCTTCGCCCCTTCATCTCATCCTGCGCCTCCTGCCCCTCCTCCTCCGCTTCCTCCTCATTCTCCTCATCCTCCTCCTCTTCCTCCTCCTCCTTCTCCCACGGGCCCCTCCATGGGTCGCCATTTCCTGTTTGGGCCGTTCGCGCAGGCGGCCCATCAGACACTCTCCGCAGAGGTGCTTTTTTCTCCGAGAGGGCATGTCCACGCCACTTCCACTGGGGCTGGCCTTGTCGTTCGTACTCCAATGGATGGCTTTCCTCTCGTGGGGACTTTACGGCCCGGTGTTGATGGTGGCGCTTCGGAAATGCACGAAGATCCCCGCAGCGCTCGGGCCGTGGACGTGCCAATCCTGCGAGGTACAAGGTGTAGACAGCACGACCATACCAGTGAAGCCGACCAGCTAGGGACGCACAAGCTACACGTACTCACACGGGGATGCGGCTGAGGGCCTCTCGCCGACAACCACGCTGGAGCGGCAAACGTGATCAGCAAGATATTTCTCAAATTGAGCATCGTTGAAATATAGGGACGCGCATGCGCAGGTAGACGACGACGAGGACCAGCCGACCTGACGTTGATCGTGGCACTTCGTCCACCGCGCAGTGGTGAAGCAACCAGACGCACGCAGCAGGTCAAGACCACAGCGGGACCATGAAGTGAATGTGTAAGGTGGGCCGGGAACCTGTGGTGTGCTTAGTAAAGTTCCGGGAAAGTGCCGGCAAAGTTTCGGGAAAAACAATGTTTGTGTGTTTTTTGTCTATGCCATTGTTGTTTATACTAGATGTGCAAGACATCGTGTAAATTCAAAACAAAGACATCAAAATGAATGGTTGACGTCAAACTAACATTGTGCGCGGTTTGCATAAGTGTCTGTTGCAACCATCGTTTTGTGATGTAAAGTCATACGGTAAGGCCAGTCACATAAATTTATGTTACCTAAAGGAGGTATGTTATGCAATCCTCACAAAATCTTATAAATTCACGCGTACAACAAATTGAAGTGCATTTGAAACAAAACGTAAGGACAGTTTGCCATCATCGCTGAATCAGATCAATTCGTACGAAAGCAGTAAAACAATCATTTGCGTTGTATTTGCTTGAGGGTGAATATTTTTCATGATCCTCACAAATCCATGGCAACGCACGCGGAAGGCAACAACATCGCTATTCCCCCGTAGAAACATACCGTTATGTTTTCGTGTGTCACTGAAGTATACAGCTTCATATGGGAAGAAGCAACGTGCTTCAGATCTGCATAGTGTTTGTGGCCAACACAAATACTTTCATTATCGTCGCACGGTCATATACAATCATATGCAGAGCATTCGCACGCGCATCATTTGTTGAATACAACGTTCGACATTTAACGAAGAGACCAAGGTTGCAACAACGTGTTAAAACGCCATCACATATAAACGCCCTCTGTTCTCCCAGATGAATGATATGATTAAAAGTTGTCATTCCTGCTGGCACTAATCACACAGTTTCTTCGTAACTCATGTATGGCACGCGCAAGCATTGTATTGCTGTAGACAAACTAATATCTCATGTTTGGAACTGTGTTTGTTCATCGCTACAAAATGAGAACGATCGGCATGACAACATAATTCGTGTTGTCGAGTGGTGTCTGTAAATCGCGCGTTCCAGCAAAGTGTTATTTCGATAGTCGCTGCGAAACGCATGCGCGCCAATATGGAAATACACACATTAAATCAAGCAAAGGCGCTGTTTGGTTTTGACAGTTACACATTTGCGTGGCAACGCATACAATTCGGAGAGGAATACACTGGCACGCACTATTCACAAGCATATGATTTTTAATATCCGGCACAGACACACTCAAATACATGCGAACAGTGATGTTGAATTCGCGGGGTATACATTGTTTGGTATTTGGGCAGCGTTCAGGTCGCATGGCACCAGACGTTTTGAAATCAGTAATAATTGGTTTAACGCTTTCAGTTGGGAAATTGATACAACACCATCACAGATCACGCGAGAGACGCGGGCCCGCTTCAACGTACTCAAGCGAAACAGCCATGACACGATAACAAACATATTCCGACAGATGTTTCGCAATCGCGTTGTCGTTGCTGGTTCCCCAAGTTGGCCAGAACCGCATGCATCCACGCGGGAATGTATTAACGCCTTTGTTTTATTGGATAGGACGTAACATGACAATTGCAATTCCGTTCGGTCCATTGTCACAGAATCGCACGCGTGCATCTGGCATTGAATGTTGAGCATATTTTGATCGATCACGAATCTGATTTAGAGGGGCTCTCGGGCCACCTCGGGGCCCTCTAGCGCCGTCTCGGGGTTTCCCTGGGCCGTCTCGGGGCCCAACTCCTCATCGCGAGGCCTTCTCGGAGCCTTCGCGGGCCCCTCTCGGAGCCGCCCGCGGGTTCCAGGGCCCCGAGGGCGGGCATTCCGAGAGGGCGCTTTCGTATAGTATGATTGTTGCTATCCTGCCGAAGGCCACGCAACATCGAACCGCGAGCCCCGCTGCCACCGCGTCGCCACGTGCGCGGCTGGGGGGCGGGGGAGAGGGTTCGGAGAGGCCCCCGGGAGGGGGCCCAGATTGAGCCCCCCGGCGCCGCGTTCACGGCGGCGGAGCGGGCCCCCCAATGCCGCGTTCACAACGGCGGAATGGGGGGACTTACAAGGCGATGTCGCGCGGTGGGCGCGCGCGGCGGGCCTGCTCCGCCAGCGCGAAACAACCGCGTGACTCGCGTCGCCCGCGCTTGCGCCGGCGCGGCAGCTGCTGAGTTGAGGGCGCGAAATGGCTCCGCGTGCTCTCGTTGCGCGCGGACTTGCGAGGTCTCGCGCGGCGCGCGGGCTGCACCTGTCACCCGCGCGCGGGCGCCTGCGCGGGCGCGGGCGACGCGCGTCGCCCGCGGCGCTCGCGCGTTTGCGCGTTGCGCCTGCGCGGGCGCGGGCGACGGGCGGGGGGCCCGGCGGGGCCCTTGGCCCGCGCCGCGCGATGTCAGGGCGGCCCAAGTCGCCCAGGCCACCCCCGCCGCGCGCGGGCGCGCCTGCGCGGCGAGGTTTACGCGACGAGCAAGAAGTCACCACGGTGGCCAAGATGCCAGAGGTGCGCGGTAGGCCCGAAGCCGCGCAATTCGCGCGTGGCCTTGTCGCGCCCAGCGCGCAGGGCGCGCGCGCTGGCGCCTGGTGCTCGGCGCTGTCGCGCGGTAGATTCGCGCGGTAAAATTGGACAGTCGCCACCCTCACTCGGGCTCCCACAACTGGCAATCAGCGCGCCTCGCGCGAAATTAGGCCCGGCCGCGCGGCCCGGGCCGCCCAGGACGCGGCGCGCGCGCCTGCGCGGCGGGATCGAGGTTGCGAGCGCGACATAGTAACTTAGTAGCCGGAGTGGATTTCCAGCGTTAAAATCAGCGGGCGGTCATCGCGGGCCCGCCATCTTGCGCGGCGCCCATCGAGCGCCCCTGGGCGGCGCGCGCTGCGGCCCGCGCCGTCTTGGCCGCGAGATTTCAAATGGCCAGGTTGGACGGGGCGGGGGCAGTCCGTTTTCAATTCGCCCCAGCCGCGGCGAGCTCTTCAGGTCGAGGTGCCTGCGCGGCGCGGTCTGCGCCGCGACGACGCGCGAGTCGCGTCGCCGGCTCGGCGGTCAGCGGTGGCCCGCGGGGCCCCCGGGCTTCTGAGCCCAGGGCCCTGGACGCTTGCGAAAAGGGCACCTCGTGCGCGACATTGCTGGGCCGGGCCTCCGACCCGGGAGATCCTGCCCTGTGGGCTTGGGCTCGATGGCCGCGGGCTCCGCCGCCAGCTCAGCCGTTCCGACCTTAGGCGCGATGGCATTTGGCCCCGGGGCCGCGGGCCCCATCGGCGCAAGGCGGCTGGGTGCAAGGCGCGGCCTTCGACCCTCGGTCACACGGGGCCGCGGGGCCCCGGTCGCGCGGGGCAGGTTTGACTTGTCACTTGCAGCCGAACGTACTTCGAACGCGTTGGACTTTATATGAGCTCTTGAACAACTTCCCACGTTGCTTGAAGTGGCGCCGCGCGAATGGGGATTTTGTTGGTTTCCCATTTTCCTTGGGGGGCAACTCATGTGCAAACGTTAGTTGAATGTTCTTCGAACTGAAGCTTAGCAATGGAATTCGCGTGCACCTTCTTTCTTCCGAAACAGGTTTCTTATGTGAGCAGCGATTGCGATTGAAGGTTCAGATGTAGCTTCAAGTTGTACATGTTTGATTATATGATTGTGGTGCTCATGATTGGGCATTTGGCGGTTTCCAGAGGGCCCGCGGCTTGGGCCAGGATTGGAGCTCGGGCAGGGGCCAGGGCGCGCATGGGCCCTTGGGCTGGGGGCAGGGCTAGGGCTCTTGGGGCCAGGGCCAGGACCAAGAGTCTAGGGCCAGGACCTGGGTCACGATCCTGGGGCCGGGGCTCGGGCCGCGGATGTTCTCCGCCTAGACCCAAGGCCCCGCGGGCCGCGGGCCGCGGGCCACCGGCCCGGCTCTCCGCGCCCTCGGGCTCGGGCCTCGCACCTGCAGTCAGCGGGAACTTGAGCCCCGAGACCCTTGCCGCCCAGCCCGAGAAGCCGTGGGCCGCGGGTCGCGCCCTGCTTCGCGAGGTTGCTT